GCAAAAAAGTCACAAAATTCACCTAGAAATAGCACTTTTGCTTTCCACTGACTGGCAGTAACTAGACTGGTTAATTCACAAAAGCCTTAAAATTTGAGTGTTCTTCCCTAATGTATGTGTTCACAAGAGAGCAAAATATCAATACACCGACATTAGCACCTTTTGGTCTCTGGGATGTTTAAAATATTACTTACTTCTGTCTTCTAAGCTTTTCTGCAAGTTGTTCTTCTTCTGTTAATTCTTCCTGTGAGAGCAATGGGCAAAATCAAAGACATTACTCAAAGGAGCCATAATAATTGCTACAAATGCACTGCAATATTTTTTCACCTCTTGTGCTGATTTATTCTCCTCCTGTTTCTTTAGAGCTCTTTCCTTGGCCTTGTCCTCCTTATCTTGTATAGCCTGTTTAATTGTTTTTCTTTTCTTTACTTTAGCTTGAGGAGCTGCTTCTATCAAATTGACAACAAAATTATATAATTCACAGGACAAACAACACAGGTATCTATGCGATTTCATGACATGACCAAAAATTAACAGGACATAATATACCTTAGCAAATGGTCAAATAGTACAATGTAGGACTAGAAAACTACAGGGCCAAGCTAAGCCAGGATCAAGTGCTTTGTGACTTTGAAATTGTGAAATTTAAATAACACAGATACGTGTTATGCCAGACATATAAAAACAGAATAATAACAAACAAACCAAATTTTACACCGAACATAGTTCAATATCGAGACATGTTCAACTTGTTTGATAATAAGCAATGTTTCCCTAACTGTGAAAAAGAAACCCCGATTTTTCTAAGAGATGGTAAGACCATCTTCTTTCTTTCCACGAGATGAAAAGAAAGGTTGATTTAAACGAAGAATTTTCGAGGTAACCTTGAGGCTATGTTTGTTAAGGGGTATTGGGTTTCATTTACAGTAAATTACAATGATACTGTACTCAAATGAACAGCGAAGAATAGTAGGATTAATCTTATTTTGAACACTTAATGATGTTTACAATCGATTTCAGGAAAGAGAATAATTTGGATAGGGAACAAAAAGCTTGTAGACATTGTTAGTGAAAGAAGCCGTGCAATAATTCGCAAAATTAAAATTTGGAATTGTGAAGCATCAGGATAGATGTTTCATAACCCGATCTATCAGTTACCAGTTTGATTTTCGGATGGCTCCGATTTCTTTTCTGAATCCTCTTCTTCATCAAACCAGTTTTCCTATAAACAAAACGTTTCCCAAATAAATCAACCTTTGATGCCGATCTAAGGAATAAACAAACTGAATTCCACGTTTTGTAAATTACGAAGATAAATTGTTACCTTAACATCCTGATCTTCTTCGTCCTCCCCTTCCCATTTGTCCGATTGTTTTACGGAAAAGTCTTGTGGCTCGAAATCCTCGTCATCTGGACAGTTTAAAATTAATTTTACAAATAAGATAAAAACTAAATTAAGGCAAAGTAAATTGTACATGTGCGAGAGAGAACTCACCCCAGTCCGCCATTTTGATTTGTAATAATGCTCGTGTTGGAGTATGGGTATTTTATATGTTAATCATTACGCAACAAATTTCCGCCTCGAACTTGCTAACTGACACAACCGACAACCAACGACAGTCATTTTGAAGTACTCGACGTCTAAAATGATAATCTGCATAATGTAAGCCGTTTTAAGTCCCACTACAGGCAGAATGGTTTTGTTTAGTCGGCTTCATTACTCTTAAATTCTAGTGTCCTCAAGAATCTTTCTGCGTGTGATATCAAACAATTGAAATTCGATTTTAGCATGGGTGTATTTATTGGGAAAGTGCGAATTGCGGTCCTGGGATCATTTGAGGACTCGTACAGAACTATATCATAAATGTATATATCATTACTTAAAATTGATGTCCATTTAGCCCTAGGTTCCCTTTTTTCCATCTTTCTTCTTTTCCTTTCCTTGTTTTTATATCTTTTTTTTTTTAAAAGTTGAGGTCTCTTCATGAATATAACCGCGAGTTTTCATACCAGTCAAATCATTATTATCATTAATGGTAGATGGCTGGTTACAAGAGCTTTCTTGCTACCAAGAAATATTGGATCATGTTTACTACAGGTACTTGCGACCGATATAGCGGTCAATATATCGGTCGAGAGTCGGTCGATGCTCGACCGATATATCGGTCGACAGTCGGTCGATATTTGTCGTTGCGCAAGTGTTTGTATAAAATTTTCCATCGAGGAACCTTGCGAAGTCTCGGGGTAAGTGGGCTAAGCGGGACAAAGATAAACTTACCTGATCCGAGATGTGAAGCAACGTCACTTGCAACTTGGCGTCACCCGAATGCCAGTAACCAACTTGTTTAGGGAAATCTATCCTTACAGAACAAATGGAGAGTTTGAAAGACATGTAATAATAGAAATAGGCTAAAGCAAACTAATTGCATAGGCAGGTAATTTAGTGTTAACAACTGAGTTGAAAACGTAAATTAGCCACCGTAAAGGGTAAAAAAGCTGACGTTTCGTCCATCGCTCACGAAGGGCTAACGCTCGAAACGTTAGCTTTTTTACCCTTTACGGTGGCTAGTTTACGTTTTCAACTCAGTTGTTAACACTAAATTACCTGCCATACTCTCCCACCGACGCAGCACCACAGTTTCTCTAGAAACTTACCCCTTTATTAATTACAGAGGCGTCAGACTCTAATTATTCAAATTTTTGTTTAGGGTAACATGCACGTTCATCATCGCACACCTCGAAACACCATCGAGGCTTCTTGCTAGCCTAACGATCTTTTGTTTTACCTAAAGAGTCTTTATATATTCTTAAGGCATTGTTCAATCCAAGAATTTTTCCTTAAATAACTTAACTTTCAGAATTTTCAATACAACGCTACGCGATTTTATGGCCGTGAACTTATGTAATCAACGCCGGATGAATATTCAACTGGGTCTCGTAAATGCAAGAAATTCGTTCGTATTTTGCTTCTGAGAGGTCTATCTTAGCACTTTTTTGAATAAAGAAATATTTCTTGCTCATTTTCCCTTGCATTTTATTAATAAATTTAGGTCAAGAGAATATATTATACAGTTTGCGTTCTCATGGGTTCATAATTCTCTTGCTTTGGTAGCACGCGATTATCTGATAATCCCGACAAATCTGCTTATTGACATCTTAAATGTTTATTTCTGGAAAAAACCATAGGAGTAAAGCTATCAACTGATTTCCATTGAAAATTGGGCAAAGAAGAGAAAAACAGGCGGGGTTGGATATCACAATAGTCATGGAAGCTAACGATGTTATGAACAAAACGTTTTACCGCGAAATATATGTAAAAGATTTTCTTCAATTCACGTAACTTACAGGATATCTTCGGTTATTGTAGCATCATAGAACGAAATAAGGTTGCAAACATATACTCTTTTCAACATTTAAAAACGATGTAGCCCGAGTGGAACGGAAGGTGTAACAACTTATTACAGACTTCTGGACGAACCCACGAATTGAAATTAAAAAGTTTTTCGTTAAAATTTTGTACCTTGTGGGATGTCTACGGTCATTTCACATTTCCACACTGATATTAATGATCACCTCGACCCATCATGGAAAGAAGAAAGGTTTTCAAACATACAAATTTAAATGAATTTGGGAAGTTTTTTTTGGCTCTGCATCTCCTACAACAACAACTAGATCGAGGCCGCGCGATATAACATGTCCCTTAAGCGATCTGGTACAGGCTCGACCAATCCCAGTGCTCATTCTGACCCAATATTGGCAGAGGCTCATTGCGCGTAACGTATTCTTATAGGGGGGCGGTCCCCTTGGTGAATAAATTACGATTTGTTTCGATGGTTTGGTCATTTACATTAGTTAGAGAAGATCCTCTTCGGTAGATCATTCGAATGATATTACAAGTTTCTGTAGTTTCTTGTTTTAGTTCACGTTCTTTAATCGCGAATGTTATCAGTTAGGTTTGGACGTCACCTATGAGTGCCAAATTAACAGAGTGATGTGAGGTAACAATCGCAGTCTTTGATAATAAATAGATATATCAGATGCTTAGGGGTGGACCACAAGAATAAAGGGAGGGGAGCGGTAGATAATTTTGGATTATGTCACAAAACAGGATGCTAGTGCAAAGAAAGGCATGCTCTCATGTTTCATTATGAGTAGTTTGGACTCTTAGCTGAACAGAAAATGTCAATAAAGACGTATTTTTCAAGAATCTCTATGTGTTAATTGGTTAAATAACTCTGTAAGGATAGACAAAGGGTTCTTTTCTCTTGCAGCTAGGTCAAAACCAAACTCATGCCTGCGTCATTCAAAAATATCATCACCATGCTTAAGATTTATCATCGTCATTTACGTCATCATCGCGCAAGAAATATTTAGTTGATACGCCAGCGCTCCATGAAGTACTACTGACTTAAGAACATTCAAATTGGGTATAGATGTATGAGGACTGCAGTGTTTGTCAGCATGTTTTACAGCGGGGACTAAAGAAAGTAAGACTGTTGTAACAAAAAAGAAAAGGTTCCTTGACCTGAAATCAAAACTAGAATTTCTCGACTACGTGGTCGCAATAAACTACGTGCAGAGGCAGCCTCTCTCTCCCATCCTTTAGTAAAAATTCTTTCAAGCAAGTAAAACGTAATCAACGATGAACAAATGTCAGCCTCACAAACCCTCTTGACCCTCTCATTTCCAAAGCTCAAAGTACTGAGCCTTGAACAAGGAACATTATCTTTTTAGCGATTTAAATAGGGTACCCTTATATGCCCAAAGCTTTGTGAGGGAAGTGAATTTTTGCGGTATTTAACCAAGCGTTTCCACGCGTGCCCTTTTAGTTGCAATATATACTCTCTCCGTTACGATATAGGACTCTATGAAGAATCTCAATTAAGAGGTGTTTGAGAACGAGATGGCACCCGATATCTACCAACATGCCTACTGCTCAAAACGTATAATATCACAATTATTTGTAGGGAAAATGACTAGATAGAGACAATAAACCACACTAAGTTTCAACACTTAAATTCATCTTTCTGTCCATCACAAGTCTAGTGCAGCTATTTGTCTGCTGGAATCATGTTCTATTTCGTGATGTTTCTTAAATGATTTATTGTTTTATTTCACACGATTAAAAATATAACAGTTCGGAAAAACTTCAGTCTATGGCTACTATTCTGTGAAAAGAAGCTGCACTATCGTGAAACCAGAAGTAATCAATTTCCGTGCTTATTGGAAAATAATTCTAATCAAAGTCTATCAACTGGCCAACGACAGGGGAGTGATGAGACTCTTGTGGCCAAGGGGAAGTAACGTGACTTGTTAAACTGCCTGAAAGATAGAAAAGTTAAACGATAAGAACTCCTGTTAAGAAATATGTGCACACTTGGGGCATCCAATTTTTGGTCGCACAGACAAAATAACAAAGCACTAAAGAACAGAAAATAATACAGAGCAAATAGAAACAAACCTTAGGTCTAAAATGAAACGTCGGATTTTGTATTTTAAACTCTAATTCAGTTGTTTGATTCACACCCAAAGCTTGTCTCTGTCTCCTCCATATGTACGCTGCAACGACTCGTGAAATTGTACAGTTATGAGAAGAAACTACGATTCCAAGTTTCGTTGCTTTGGGATAAAAAGATGAAACTCAAATCGTGAAATGAAAAGAACCACAATTTCTCTACACAGTAGAAAACACAATTGAAGTGGTAAATAATTTGTAATATCCTCGCTGACGATTTTTCACCATAAAAAAGAGAAATACAGATTGTGACAATGAAGCAAAAATATTAAAATATTTGGAACGAAACATTTTTTGTCTACTGTTATATTAGCAGCAATAACACTAGCAATTAAAATTAATTGTTCCTTTACGCCCACCTCGATGTGAGAACGGAGACGGTAAATCATGGCGCCTTGATACGTCTATTTCGTCTAGAAGCAACAAAAAGATATCGAAGTTATTGATTCAGACAATGCTGTAGTTTTCATCATTAAAGTAAAATGGAAAGGATTATTCTTACACTGCGTGTTTACACCAAACGAGAGACCAATCAGCTGTGAAATTAGGAAATCATCTCTTTAAAAATTTAAGGTTATCATCAGGGTCTTACTATCCTGTAAAGGTGCAGTGCTCGATTTATTGAGCTAGGAAGCCATACATAACTAGTACTAGCTGGTCACTGCTCAAACTTAATTTCTTTATTCCAAAGTAACGATTTTTTCTTCTGCCTACTTAGGATACCAAATGACATTTTCAAATGAATGTGACCTTTTTCACGCAAACTAGGCAATTCAGAGAACCTATCTGACGTGATAAAGGCTAATTCTGTTTTAATAAGAGAGTCCACTGCCACATGTACTCCACAGAGAAAGATAACTTACAGTCGATCAAATTCCCATCATTCTTGGGTCTTTCTCCAACTCAAACCACCGAAAGATACTACCACTACTCCGAAGACTTCCGTGATCTATTGGGTAAGAAACCCTAATTTTCTCACCTTGAAAGGTGTTACCACCCGAACTTGAAAAGGTCTGTTTGGACGAGGGAACCTCACTAGCTCCGTTCGGCATATGCACACAACTCAACAGAAGAGGTGTTGAAATGTTGTACGGCGAAGAACTGTACAGACCGTTCACCCCAGGAGAAATAGAACCTTTTTCTGCTAAACCACTCTCTACTTTGTGTGAGGTTCTCTCTGGAAGACTTGGTGTTGCTGTCTCCCAAGGAATACCTTCATAAAGCTCTTCCAACAAGTGAGGTGTTTCTTGAAGGGGACTGGTAAATCCCACGCCATTTTTTTGTCTAAACGGAGTTTGCCCGGAGAGATCTATATCTATTGGCGAAGATGGCGAACCAGAGACACTTGTTATGAGCTGCGGTGAGTTGAATGAAAAGTTAGCGAAGTCATTCTTGATACCATCCTCATCAGGTGTACTCCTACTGCTTGGGGTCAGGGGTGTCAGCAGAGCAGGCTCACTTGTACGACTATTACTAAGGTCTCCATCGGTGTTTGCTCCAGGGGTCACCTGAGAGTACAGATATCAAACTAAAGAAATTAACAAACAGTAAAATAAATATAACTAGGGTAAATTCTAAGAGCATGGAAAAGCGTCCATGAATGATGTCCTCTTTTGCTGAAAATTAACCCCTAGGCCTCGCTTCATTAAAATTTTTCCATTAAAATCTGGATTTCTTACCAACTCCCTAATGCTTTACGTGGGTATTCTTTTGTTCTGAATAGCTTGGAAAAATTTTTTTCCTACATTTCACAGTGACCTTCTCTATAGTGCAGAGTCAGGCTGAGCTAGTTTATTCCAATGGACGGTTACGTTAAATTTACAATAAAATAAATGGCAGTATGCGGAACTAAAAAACCAGATCGGTCGATTTAAGAGGAGAAAAGTTCCACCTCATTTGTACAAGTCGTTGCACAAATAAGGGAAAACTTCGAGTAAACTCGTCTGGGCAGATATATGTGATTAAGAACGGAACCCTTTTCATCAGTGAATCTGTTTGGCTGGCACTTTCTAGCAAATGGGAAGACCGTAAAATAGCCTGTGGTTAGTCATCGCGGTAAATAATACTTCAAAAGAGAAATGTAATTGTTTGTTTCACGATGTGGTCATATCGGAAGTGGACTGCGACGTTTCGACTGCATACTGCTAATCTCCTTCAGGTAACGGGTTCGGTTGAGTACGCGTCACCTTCAGGCTGGGAAGACCCTTGAGAGAACATAGTTCTTCCAAATGCTGAGTGATTCTGCTACATGAGATGTTAAACTGCTGATCAAGTTCAAGGCCATAACTGTTACGTTATCTAGTTACCTGTTGACTCTTTTGCGCTTGTTTTATCTGATCCAGCCTGGAGGCCAATAACGACGAGTCAGAAGGTGTTTGGCCCTCCCTCTCGTCCTGTTTACTGGTTGAGTTATCTGCTGCATGGGACTCAGACGGTCCTGACGGAGCTGCGTGTGGAGAACTGAACGAGAGCTGCGTCAATTTAATCTTGTTAAGTCTTTGAATCAGTGCAGAAGTATCGACTTCAGTAATTGACGAAGGAACATTTTGAAGCGCGGTCTGTGCGACAAATGCCCCGGATTTGGATGAGGCATGCGCGCTTGAAGTATTATCAGGTTGGGATGTCCTCACTGACGTCTTGGCTTTATCCGTGTTAAGTGGGATTTTTTCAGTGAATCTACTGAAAAATTCAATGCCATTAAACGACGAATTGCCGCTCTCTAAAGGAGTTTCGTCAAGACTAAGATCTGTCGTTGGTGACGTAGCTGTCTCCTGGACATTAAAATCCAAATATCCTCCTTGTGGACGAAGCCAGAATTCAAGACTTGGAGATTGTCCGATAGATAACGGCAATTCGTCTGACATTGTTGTTAGACTGGTGGTTGGTTGAGCGGGAGTAACCTTCTTTTGATGCTGTGACGTTTCCTGCTGTAGGGGCGATTCCTCAAAGAGCGATTTTTTGACTGACTTTGGTGTAGGCTGAAACGTGGTACGGTTAAAACTTTCGTGTACAGAGGTGCTGTAAGCGAGCTTATCACTAGAATGGTTGAGAGACGAAAACAGTCGCAATGACGATGCACCACGTTCAGGAGATTTTTCGTGGACCAAAGAGGTCCTAAGTGGACTTGAGGACATTTTGCCCTCAGAATACGTAGCACCACTAACATCTGGTGGAGGAGTATCCCTTGACAGGCCTCCTCTGACAGGACTGGGAGTGGATGTTTCAGTAGATTCGTCAAGGATGGTTTGGAGAAGGCGACCAGTCTTTGTCTCAGCGTTTTGTCGAGTCAATGTTTCCTCTTTTACTCCTTTGTAACCTGTAAAAATCATGACTTCGTCAGAATGAAACAGTACTTATTCCATGAAAAATGGTAGGTGTAAAGGAAAAGAGAATTATTTCGCCTAAGGACGAAACTGTTTGTGAGTGAGATTTTTACTGGCTTAAAAAAAAAGTGGAAGCGACAACGCGCAGACAAAAGCGAAACCACTCTTACCGTCGGATTTAGCTGGAGTTCTAGGAATCCGATCTCGCGGTTTAAATGCGTCTTGTCCTGATATCGAAAATAAGAGTTGTTATATTAGACTATTAAACACTTTTATTTTAGTATTTCACAGCCCTAGGTTGGTAGCCTTAAGGTTTGTTACTGTTTTATTTGCCCACACTTCTAGAAAATGTTGGGCACTAGTATATCCTAGAGCAGCCAGTCAATCTCACCTAGTGCACCAGCAGGATCCTCCAATGCTTGAGGCTGCAATAGAGACCGGAGAATATCACTCTGTAAATACATCCATTAAAAGTTGTCTTCTTTCCTCACTTATCTTCTAAATCCTTCTTAAATTTCGGACCAATGGCCTTAAGATATATGATAATATACTATAGATAGATAATTATACTATACCATAACAAACGGATCTCAAAGTTCCTGTTCCCATGACATGTTTTAAACATCATAGACTGAGAGCACATTTGATTTCTGAGTACAAAAACACCACAGCCCTTGGGAGGGCTTCATAATCTTTCTTTCTTGTACTAAAAGAGAAACCATTCCTGTCTTAGAAAGGAGCACCCGAGAAGGTATCTCACCTGAGGGGTGGTGGCACGGGATGAAGAGCTTGACGATGAAAGAGAGCTTGAGGTGGTTTCCTGTACAGCAACAGCATCTGCGATCTGTAAACAGAGTTACAATGTGACAGGGGTTAAACCTTGTAGCTGTGATTCAGTAAAACTCGTGACAGCCAAAAATGGAGTAGTAACCATGGAGAAGGAGAAAGACTGAGAGAATACCAAGAAAGTTCAATCTTTGATAGCTCTTCATTCACTTAAGTGTAAATACGTGCTGTTGTAAAGTATAAAGTCGATACCTGATCTGCCAAAATGTTCTGTACTGTAGGTTTCAGAGACTGGTGCTTTGGTACAATTTCAACTTGCTCTGCTCTTGGAGTGACATATGACTTTTTGAAATAGAAATACACATACATTTCAGACAACAAAAAGAATTGCAGATGACAAAAAAAAAAAATTCTCGACAAATACATTGCATTAGAGCCTGTTTAGGCAATGATTAACTTCACATCTAATACTAAAATAAAAAGAGAAAATGTCTGGTGACTAAGAGAGTGAAAATGGTAGCTAAAGAAATTGTCTTAATGTTTGCAAGTTCCCTCTTACAGATGTGTGAATTTGAGCCAGGGATATCATGATCCTGAGGTTGTTAGCTGTGGTGAGTAACTTTGTACATGTATATTTGGAACCATATTATGCAGAACAACGACTGCAAGATTTTCACACATGCTCAAGCTTTTAAGCTTAAAGTAGTGAACACCTACTGAGTAAGGTAGACTTTTTTCAACATATGGCTGGGATGGCTTCTTTTTCTTTTCAGTTGATTGGGAGGTGGCAGTTTTTGTGTTCAGAATCTAAAGCAAAGAATAAAACAAGGAATCTTTCCCAATCAAAGAGTTCTTCCTCAGTGAAGATAGATGATTGGCTGGATAAGGTGCTGTCACTGATTACAGCTAAGGAAGTATAACAATATTCCGCAAACTTCATCTGCCATAAACCATATTTTGTTTCATTACTAAGTCACATGATAATTATGGGAAACAAGACTAATACTTGTATTATAGTCAGCTTAACAAAGGTAAATATGTAGTAATTATTAAAAAAACTTTCACTGACTCTAATCAGAATGATTGCTTCTTTAGTTTAATCTGTATTTTGATGATCATCAGAGCAGCTGAGCTTTTTTCAGTGTATTTGGTCTTCTCAAGAAATATATAGAAATTGGCAACAGGCCACTTTCAAACCTTCATGCCTCAGTATCATAATCATCCACCAAAGGATGATAATGGAAAAAGGAAATGTACAGTGTCATTCTCAGCCAATCAACCCTTGAGGCTCAGGGAAGAGGTACTTTGACTGATTGATTCTTACATTTTTGTTTCCAGAAGTTATTTGACAATTCATTTACATGACATTTAATTGATTGTAGGTAACACAAACAAGATGAAATCAGAGGAACAAACATTGTTTTGAATTTACTGAGTTTTCAATTCTTCCTATACTGAAAACCTGATGATGATGTTTGCCCAGCTCACCACACTATGGACAGAGATTGCAGCAATTACAAGCATTGCAGTGCTCATTCAATTGAATAAAGATGTAGTGGTACAGATTTTTCCTTGGTTTAGAAAATCTCAAATCAATTTAACTTTGATTTTTCGTTATCTCCAGTCCATTACTGTAACCTTTTCAACCATAAAAATTGAACTACAGTATCACTAAATGTGTGAAGAAACAAAACCATTACTTCAGTTGCATGGCAATATTGTATTGGCCTTGGAAGCCTGGAAGATTTCTCCTTTTTATTTCTGAAATAAATGAAATTTAATAACAGTAAATAACCATGCCGGCTCAAGATGTAACCTTTTAGCAGAGTCACAAGAAGATCTCAAACATACTTGGGCTTGAGAAGAGATTCTTTTTCACCTGCAAAGAGAGATCCACGTTCATATCAATGCAATTCAATTTAATACAATATTTATTGTAATACCTTACATGCATCTACTATAGGAATCGTGAAGAGGATAGGTGTGAAAAAGAATATTCTATTCAATATCTTTTCAATTTCTTTTAAAGGCAAAATTGTTGAAAAAAAAAAAAAAAAAAAAACCTTCTCAGACATGTAACTTGTTTTAATGCCAAATGTAAATGTTGGATTGTAAAGCAGACCACAAATAATTTTCAATAATGTTAGAAATAAAGCTGGTCACTCTCCTTGATCCTACATGTACACTTACCATGCAACTGCTTTGTTCTGGCAGATTTGGTCCATGCTTGAATTACATCTGGTGTAGAAACTAAAAACAAAATGAATGTAGAAATGATAGTATAAAACTAGTAATGGATAATGAAGATTCTCATTTCTTAAAGATGTGCCTGTAACATTTACCTGTTTCTGGTGAAAGCTTGAGACTGTCCTCAAAAGAAGTAATTCTCTGTGCCATTGGTGTGTCAGCAGGTGCAAAGGATACTGGGGGAGTAGGAGGAACTAGTCCAAGATTCTAACATTCATCACAAAATATATATTAAAAGTAATCCCTTCAAGTTTTAAAAATGGGAATCAAAAGCACACAAAGATGACAGAATTAAGTTCAATTTGAATATGACAGTGGAGATATTATTATTATTATTATACTGTTTTAATGTTATATCAACTAGCCTACCCAGACTCTCAACCAACTTACAAACACAACAGGTCCCTGTGTTGCCTTGCTAGGTTTTTGCTCCAACATCCTGTAACATTGTAACTTCAATTCCTTGATAGATTCCTTCATGGCTGGCATAGTTTCTTCTATAGCTGCCCTTTAGGAAAAGCATTACGTACAGCCATATTAGAGGACTTTCAAAATTTTTAATGGTCTTTAGAAATGCTAATGTCTATTCAGTGTTAAAACACTTCATATTTTGCCTACTTAACCATTAATTTCACCCTCAAAAATTATTCAGTTCATCATTAGTCTAATTTTGAAACAAATGTAAATACAGGTATGAAAATTTTGAACAGTAATGTCTCTATTGCAATGTACATGAACAGTAACACATGTTTCCATCTCCGATGCCTTACCTTAGTGACTTAGTGTTGGTAAGATGTGCCTCATGGGTGTGAAAAGCTGACCTCACTGTTGGACAGTAATCATCCAAACTGGGCAGAGGTTCTATTAAACAACACAATGTACTTTCAAGTTAATCATAAAAGATAGTACATGTACTATGTAATGGATTTGTCTGCAAATTTTCGGCGTAAGTTAATTGAAGTCACGAAAGATAGTCAACCTTCAAAATCATGTTTGCAACTTTTAGAGAACAAACCTTGGCAAATCTGCTCCCTTATCTTATAAAGCGACAAATTCCAAAGTTGAATCAGACTGCATTGAGGAAAAAAGTCACAATAAAAATAATGAAGTCAAACACAGAAGAGAACTCTAGAAAGGTACAAATACAAATTAAAGTACTATAATTGCTTTATAAGGTACTAGTACTATTGCTTTCTTTAATACCTAGTGGTGTACATCAAATGTTAATTTCTGAAGGGATATAATTAATTTTTGTTCTGTTAAGGGAGAAAAGTATAAGGAACCTTCATTTAAGACTTAACTGAACACATGCAAGCAGAGAAAAACTTTGACATCTTTGCCTCTGAACATCAACTCAAATAATAGCTTGGGCCTCAGCTCAATGTCTAACCTATTGCTCTAACTTTAAACTATTTTTAGAATGCTGGTTTACAAACTTAGAACATACTCCTCTAAAAAGATGTCAGCAAATATCAGCACTGTACAAAACTGTAAAACTACTAGTAACTCATAATGTTTGTATAACCAATCAAACAATGAAATGGAACAATGAAACTTTACCGAAAAGTCAAACCGGATTCATCAATGCTGTCTGAGCCAAAGAAAAATTGCAAAACTAATAACTATCATTCAGTTCCTGCCTGACTTGCAACATTCAACTGGCAAACCACAGCTGAGGTTGTCAAAATGTCAGTCAATGTCATTGCATGACAGCAGCCCTTTTAAGGAGTACCTTCATTCAGACAATTATATAACTTAAATCAACTAGAACATTTTTTACTTAAAAAACTTCATCTTATTAAAATACTGACAGTGTGATCGACACTTGTAACACTTACCTCAAAAGATTCACTTTTCCACCACAGTAAGTATCTTCAATATTTCTCTGAGAAAAAAAGTGAGATATCACTGAGAAAACTCATGTCAGTTCCTCAAATAAGGAAGATTAACAAATGATTATCATTTATAAGAAATAAATGGCATAAGTCATCCCTTCATACCTTTTTTATCTCCCTTTCAGAATCTCTCAGCAGCATGTCAGGAACCTGGCAAGGTTATGAAAGAAGTATTATTAATCCTTTAGTAATTAAACAACTGAGGAATTTGGTGAGGGTCCTTTGCACTTAACAATCTGGATTTGATATCAGTAGTGGTTTTACAATACCAGTTACAATTTTTGTACTTTCATGAGTATCATACATCAAAGAAACAAACAGAGTACCCTTAAGATTACATATTTACTGATACATGCATGCCATGGCTAAATTTGACAAAAGAAGTTAATGGTCAAGAGAACCTGGCGAGTTTACATTTTTTTATATTCCTGTCACCTTATACATATCAAAATGTAATAATTTGTACCATTTGTGATGCCTTGGAAAACAAGTAGCAGCAATTCAATCAATCCACATCTAATTATGCACACAAAGTGGACAAAATGTTATTATTATATTCCAATTAATCTAGTAACTGAGATGCATTTTTCACTCACTCTTGGTTCTATGTCTGAAACATCAATGTGGTAGTTGTTTGCTTCACCCATGAGCACTGTGTCAACTATCTTCCTCTGTTCAATAAGGTACAGAAAAATTTTAATAAAAATAAAGTTGAAAAAAGAGGGTCATCAATGAAAACAACTTAACAAGTGAAATTTTTAAATTTTTGCATAGAAAGCTATTTACATACCTGAGGTCCCTGCATAGAGTGGAATTCTGCAATTCCAGTCCACAAGTCTCGAACCTGCCAATAAAACATGGTGTAAACAAGTTTTTAACTAACTTGCAACAAGGAAATACACTTATCAGGGACATTACATTAAGAAACCAGCAAATTGCAAATGGTGTAAGAGTCCTTTAATCCACACTGACATAAGAAGTCTATGATTTTATAGGAAGATGTCAGATTTTTTCTGTGTTTAAAAACTGATTATGTTCAATCAGTGAAACAAATCAGTGAAAAAGGTTCTTCAAAGTAAACCCTAGGATTTGTAGAATGAACCTATAGCTTAAGACAGTTTAGAATTCTTTTTCAAGTTCTTAAAACCAATTCTTTCATGAATTGATACTACTGCTCTTTTAGGTATGTATCCCTGAAACTAATATCAAAACATTTCCTTATTATTTCTCAGCAAGTTAAGATTTTTCTCTGTTGGGCTAAGTTTCCATAGCAACATTGCAACCTCTCATTGGCACTCTTAACCTTAGCATTCAGTGTTCTCAACTCTAAAAAAATTCTTTGATGACTCCTGTTTTTCTTGTCACATTACACTCAGGTAATCAACATTCATCTTTTTACAAAGGGTATCAGGGTCAAGCCACCTAGTAGTCTAAAAGTTCAAGTGGTTCTTGACCTTGTAACAGGTTCATAACCATTTAGTTTTCCTGCCATGTTGTTCAGCATATAATAAAGGAGGATCCACTTGATTTTTAAAAGAAATAATTGAGCATGGAAAACCTCCATAATTAATCCCTCATTTGATTGATGATTACTGCCAATGTAAACCCACATCTGAGTGGATGTGTAATAGAACTTCTACCAAAAAAAAGATTTGTCGAAGACAGAGTGTGCCTTGGACAACTGAACTGCAGCTGCCAGGCCTAGTTACTGATGATATATGAGTTGAATGTGTAGTTTACCATCAGGTGGTCATAAAAGAAATAAATCACTGCCAACCTTTTGTAAATACTGTGTCCTTTTGAGAGCTTCAACATCTTCTTGGTAATCAGTCCTTATACTGAAAACAAAAGTATAAACAATGCTTTATCTAATATTCCCTAACTCTTTTGTTATGTAATCATTCATTTATACAAACTTACTCCTGATATTTCAATCCCTGGCTTAAACATGCTATGGATTTTGGCAATTTGAGCCTTGCTCAGTAACTTGTCCACTGACTGACAATGTTGCAAATTCTCCTTTTTCAGAAAGAGATTATTTTACACAATGTGTATACTTTATGGAAAAATATGCAAGCACAGACTCAATAAATACCTCTTACAACCAACAATATTGCACTTAATTTAAAATACAAAAAGTAGAAGCACATGTGGAATCAGCTGATTGTTAAAAATAAATGAAGTATTAAGTCCTACCCAACACTTTTCCCTCTTGTTGCAATAACCCCATCCAGTTCCAAGATATGTCGCTCAAGATCACGCTTCTTTTTAACTAGAATTCTAAATTCTTTGGTTGACTCCCTGATAGAGGGTAAGTATAGAAGATAAAACAGTAAGTCACCCAAATAGATAAATCAAAGTATAATTTTGATGAGAAACTTTCTGCAAGGAGAGTTATATCAAACGATACAGAACAGGCTGTGGTATACAGTTGCTTATTTCTAGTTAGATCACAGTAAGTACATTACCTCTGAATTGTGCTCCACATCAAACTGACCAAATTTATTTTGCTACATGTAGGTCTACTCAGGTCATTGATATATGTAAGTTACTGAGAGAGGTAACATACTTTAAAACTATAACACTTTGTCAAAAAAAAAAATTATTGGAAAGTTCCAGGTTAGAAAGTACAATTATGAAATGTTCTACCATTTTGAGAGTGGTCTTTTTAGTAAACCAAAGGCCTTCAAAATCAATTCAAGGTCTTGAAAAGATTTCCAATGCTAATAAGACTACACATAAGGATCTGAAGATTTCTTGCAAATATGTTTATTCTAGATGATTAACAAGTTCCTGCCAATACTCTGAATGTTCTAGAGGAACTTGATGAAACTACACTGTTTTTTTGAGTGCATTAGCATTACTTTCTGCCCATTTTCTCACTTCTTGTAAATACTAATCATTATTTATGGATCTTTGGCTAAAATAAACCACGTATCATTATACATACATGGCAAATTCTTTCCAGTGATTTTCCACTTCTACTGCATGTTGTGCAAACTCTATAAATCTAAATAGAAAACAATAAAATGTTGTTGAGATGCTTCACCACAACATTTCCACCATTTCAACCAATATTATTATATGCTGAGACATTTCAATTGATGACTGAAAAAGTTTGATAGACACTCTGGGCTCTACATCATTTTACATGTTATGACTACCCTTTGAAGGTTTAAAGGATTTTACATTCATAATTTATGGCACTGATGACAAAAGCAATAAGCTCATTTTAACCTCAAAAGCACCTCAAAATTTGATTGTGCTCCAGACGTTGGTTGTTTCTTACCAACAACCTGGCAAACAAGCTAAACAACTATTTTTACATAAACCACAAACTCCTTTTGCAAATATGCACTATATATACTCAAGCAGAAGACCATGACAGTTAATGAAGTGCTAAGTACTGTTTGTCTCACAATGCAAAGTATAAATTGCATTCTGCAGGGTTTAATTTTTTGGATAATCATATTAGTTGTAAACTTAACCACACTCACAAGTTCAAGTCCACTGCCCTTTTAACTTGTGCCAATGGTATATTTGAAAAATTTACTACTGCCCTACATAGCAAGGCATTTGCCCTGTGTTCAAGTCACATACTACATTTCATTCACTCTTAGTTCAGCAAAAAGAAGCTCTTATCTACCAAACAAAGAAGATGGCATAGTCTACAAGATTCCCTGAGGACCTAATGGTAAGAGAATATACCAGAGAAATAAACGGAGTAGTTGCTCATATACCCAAACATATGTAAATTTTGTCCAGACTACAAATGATTACTTTTCATATAAAACTTGACAGGACTTTACCTTTTCTTTAAAACAACGAAGTGGGCCTCCAGTGCTTTAGACATTACATGTGTGAAGGAATGGTTATGAACAGTCTTTGTTGGAAAAGTAGGAATGCTGATAATTTTACCTGTTTGAAACCAGTCAAGGAAGAGAAATTAAAAAGCGGAGGACATAAAAATTCTTCCATGCAGGAAAGTAGGCAAGTGGTGAAACTTAACTCTGACAATTTTGTCATAGCTGGCAAGAACTGACAATAAAAGCAGCAAATTACAAAGTGCAATGGGGCTGCACCATAGCTTGATTAGAAAAAAAAACTTTTATGGTAAACTATGTACAGTAGATCTTTGAACCCACCCAGTTTGTAAAACTGAAATGTTTGTTGACTGTCAAAAGAGACATCATGCTGCACAACCCTGTTTTAAATCTCAACATCTTTATAAGGGTTTCTTTTCTGGAGTTTTCATCTTGCAATTAATGAAGAAGAAGGGAACTTGCTGGGGTATATGCCTGGCTGGCAACCAAGCAAAGGAAGTTGTTTACTAAATGAAATGATTTAGTTCTCCCAAAAGACTCAATGAAATTGTTTTATCAGTGTCAATCTCTCCATCACCTGAGTAACCCATCTGTATAGAGCTACACATATTTACTGTATGTGGTTTGTGGTGTGGAGTTTTCTCAAAGTATTATGCATGTACATGTAGGTAACCAAATACAGCAACATATATTACAAGAAATCACAATTGACTACCTGCTAAAGTAGCAAATCTAAATAATGAACTCACCATGATCACGATACATAACTTTTGTCAACACATACAGGGAAAAATGATGAAGGAATGAATAGAAACGATCTCCTGTAACAATAAAAAACAAAAACACATGTCATGTGATGTAAAACAATTATTTGAAGATCTCTATGATACAAGTGTAAAAGGCTAAAAAGATCACCAGAAACAAAGTGAAATACTAAGCAGACATATTAGTTTCTTGAAATAGTGAGTAAAATACTGTAATGAAAGGTTATCACTAATGGAGTGAAACTCAGAAATTATGAACACCAGAAATCTCCATGGAATGTTTTAGTCTTGAAAGGTAATTACTACCCAAAATTTGTTTGTGGATTAGTGGTTTCCTCACATTTTCTCATTTTCTGTGTTATGACCTACATGGTTGGTCATGACACAATAAACATTGCAAGCATATTCCAGGTGTTTATGGTTTTCTGAGTCTGGTAGTAAAAGCCAACATGATAACTACTCAACCACAGAATCATCTGATATAGAGACAAGATCTATATGAACATGTATATCTACCTCCAGGAGAATGGAAAAGTGATTGGACTATTCTTGGTAATCTTGCCTCTGGGTCTTCCTATGAATTGTAACAAAACAGAAGTATCAATTTCTCTTTACAATTGATGTTTTACTGGTTTCCTGTCAAAAATTAAAAATGATTCAAATTGTTTTAAAATGGAAAGGGTCAGGCAATAGGAATCCCACTTTGGCTTTACATTTTGACTTAATGGTGTTTTGCCTCATGATTTAGGCTGAAATGAGTCTGTCTGACTTAACAACTGTTTTCCAAGAAATCTGTTAGTTACACTGACATTAATGTCTAGTACTAAATGATCATTTTTATTCTATAACAAAGAAGGTACTTGAAGCTTTAGGCTTATCAGTGAGTTTGTTGTTTCTGTAATATCGATAATTACTTTCAAAGGAAATCATTGATGCTCATTTTTCACCTTTAATTACCAATCATTTCCAATATTGAGTATATTACCTTCTGTACTCTGGATACCCAGTTAAAACAAACTTTCCTAAATTGCTGTTCAAGGATCTTGTCACGGACTGGCCAACAGTCCCTATGCAAAAAAGGAAAAAACAAAAACAAAAAACATAAAAAGAATAAACATAAATTACCAAGATGGATAGAAGAGACACTCAGAAGTATGACAGTTCAAGACCCATATCTCCTTTTTTTGAAATCACCTTATACTTCTAATCCATTAGAGCATCATATAACTTGAAATTAAATAAGGTTATTTTAGCATCTAAGAAATGTTTACCTGAATTCTTCATATGCCAACTGAGGATGAAGTCTTGTAAAAAGAAAATGCATCACCACTTCCATGGCTTTCTTGTTTGGTAATGCAAACATATCACTACAAAATGGGTTATAAGAACCATGATTAAATGGACAAACAAGATGCTACAGATATTAAACCTTACAACATGTGCAAAGTAACTAAAATATAGTAATATTTTCACAAAGAAATAGTCGATCAGGGGTTTCAATAACTTTTTCCATAAGCAGCTGCCAATAATGTAATAGGCAGCTGAGTGATACCTATACATAAGAGCCTGCTTGCAGGCTGAATAGGCAGTGGTGAGAGATCTCACAGCTGGTGGTAGAGAGCTGGTCATGGCATTATTGAACCCCCTCCTGATGTGATAGTGCTGGTAGTAACAGAGTCTCTAATTATTGGATTTAAAATCTATAGTAATTATAGTACACAATGCTTTTTCTGATAAACAGAGTATTGCATACATGCTCAAGCCAAAGTCACGTTTACCTTTGATAGTAAGAATTCACTGTATAGCAACAGTGCAAGAAAAAAAGAATGAGCAGATGTATGGTAAATCTCTGATCAACACCAACCATGTAAATGCTGTATTGAAAACAAGGAGATGACTTGAACCCTGGTCTGATTAACATGGATTGCCATGGGATTGTGAGCCATAATAACAAAGGTTACAGAAGTACAGGTGTGTATAAGTATATAAATCATACACGTAAAGTTCTTCTTTGAAACCCAGCAACTCACACTTTTCCTTGGACAACTGTTTCAGTCCTTTAAAGCCTACATAACGTAGGTCTTATAGGGCTGGTGTTGTCAACCATTTTCCATGCATTATAGTAGTTTGTCTTCCTTAATATCAGTTAATGTTCTCTCTTATGTAAACCTCTTTAAACTAATTAGCGTGTTTATTTTACATATTTCCAACCTGAGCAGACCAGCTAAAACCAAGCTAAAACAGTTTTCATAATTTTCTTTGAGAAAACTTTAAAAAACTCTGATTATCACTCTTATCTCGTATTCAAAAGCTAGTCAGTTATTACCATTATCTTTTAAGAAATCGTTATAATCGAGGACTGATTTCAGAACAAGATCTGTTTACTCTCTTTGCAAGAGATCTTGCTCAGATGATCAGAGTACGAAGCCACCTTTATTTACAGCTTAACAAAGTGACATGTTAATTGATGGTTCTTATCGTCCACAACAACTACTTTATGGGTTGATTAATTCTGATAGCGAAAATAAAAATACAGATTCCAACTGACCGATTAAACACCACTCTGTATTTGGACTCCATTTCTTCAGGATTGAAATCCAACAGTAGCAAGTTAGTAAAAGAGATCTCGCGTAAGTCCAAATGGTTTGGCATGATACCAACGGGTTTGCTCGTTTCAGCCATGATTCTGCCACACACCTCATACAGTGAAATGAAAGAAGACCAAAGAAGATTAGAATTATCTACTCAAACTAGAAAACCGACAAAAATATTTGGTCGATTCGCGCCACAAAACTGAAGTAATATTCTCCAGTCCCCAACCTCACCCTCGTTAGGCTGTTTCGCCAGGAGCCTAGAAACGACTGTTCAAAATGGCTGCTCCAATGTTGCATAATCTTGTTTCGTCTTTTTCTCGTGGAATCATCAGAAAAATGACTTGTAAAGGAATTCTTACCAATAATAGTATGTTGCCAAGATTCTTTGGATTTCATTCGTCGCGATTTTTTAGTGATGACGTAAAAGACACCGAAAAGGGTGTAGATTCGCAAGTCCATGAGAACAACAACCACCAGAAGATCGAAGGTTCGACTGATAAAGATCCTTATGCTCCGTTTCCAGACGATATCAACCCTGTTACTGGGGAAAAGGGAGGACCAAAAGGACCAGAACCAACCAGATATGGAGACTGGGAGAGAAAGGGACGTTGCATAGACTTCTAATGTTTGACTTCTTGACAAAATGGCTGCTGTGGAATTAATTCTATTGTCAAACTTTTGGTCAAACTGGGCGAAGTGTGGAACGCAACATTATATTTACTGGCTGTTCTTAGAAACACGATCCAGATTTTTTTCTGTATCATACGATAAAGCAGGTCCGAAATGTTACTTTTCCTCATTTGGATGTGATGCGTCGACCTGTTTTTGAATTTAAGAAAGTCAATTTCGGACGAATTTGACTGTGATCGCGATCACCGTGACGATACAAATTACTTATGCTGACGATTAAAGTTAATGATAAGTAAGAGCTGTACTTGTTCATATGCTGAGGCGGAGGCCGGTAAGGTCATTTTTAGGAACAAATTGTTTGTGTTATTGTGAGTCAAAACCTGATACGCCGACAGGAAGAAGGTATCCCTCGGCTGATATAGGAGACAATATCATATATGGTCATTCTGAATAGAGCTTGTGATTCTTGATATAATGACAACTTAAATAATGATTTTGTTAGAATGTTTACTTCGGATTTGACTCTATTCTTTTCATTTTAATTCGTGAATTGCGCGCATGCGCAAGAGCGAGTTGTAGATTTTTTTCGATTTTAGGCTTTTGAGTGCATTTGATAGTTTT